GATTGGGAGGGTGAGCTAAGAATCAAAAAGGAAAGGAAAAGAAAATGGAACTCAGAAACTGCATAGGCTGAAGCCTTGCTCCCCAATTCATAGCTCTTTGCCAAGGAGGATGAAATTACTTAATTAAACAAAACTCCACTTGATTTTGAATAATCTTGGGATAGCCTAGGCCAGGGGTAGGGAACCTTCAGCCTTGAGGCCACATGTGGTCCTCTAGGTCCTCAAGTGCAGCCCTTTGACTGAATCCAGACTTCACAAAACAAATCTCCTTAAAAAAAGGATTTGTTTTGTAAAACTTGGACTCAGTCAAAAGGCCACAGTCAAGGACCTAGAAGGCCACATGTGGCCTGGAGAGCACAGATTCCCTGCCCCTGGCCTAGGCTGAATTAATTTTAAGTACATTCTGTAGCAGAGAAATGACTGACAAAGCCTCATCAAGTAGTTGTCCTATTGAGGCTACTTTAATCATTAATCAAGAGAAGAATCATTTGTAACTCTCCCATTTTGTTGCTGTTATTGTTCAGTTGATTCAGTTGTGTCTGACCCTTAGTGACCTCAGTTGGGGTTTTCTTGGCAAAGATTCTGGAGTGCTTTGCCATTTCCTTCTCTAACTTATTTTATAGATGAGGAAACTGAGGCAAACTAGCTTAAGTGATTTGCCCAGGGTCACCCAGCTAATAAGTGTCTGAGACCAGACACTCTCCCATTAGCTGTAGTTAAGCAAATAGATACTGCTGAAATGATTTTAAGAATTTGAGAGCTTAGATTTCTTGAATAAACTGAACACTCTGCAATGGAATTTTTATCACTAATTTGTGTTGCAAATTTTCTTTTCACTAAGAACACTGGTAAATTTCTATATACTCAACTCTTATTCAAATGATTCTAAATTCTGAATTACAACAGTCAACATTCTTGAAGTTTTACTCTTCTGTATGGAATAGATTGAGGAACAATAATAAAAGCTGTAGGACAATTGTCTTTACTTCCATTTTCTTGCCTGCTGTATTTTCTTTTTTCTCCTGTGCTTATTCTAAACTCACCCAATCCTTTTTAAATGTTCTTTCCTAGGATTGCCTACAACAATTACTATTAGCTTTATATTATTTGCCATTTGTGCATGAGTGTTGCGTTTATATAACTAGCTTGTAAACTTCATAAAAACAAGAACATATTTCTTTGCAGCACCCCCCCCCCAAGATTTGGTCTCCCTATCTCATCCAGGTGGTAAGTGCTGGAGCTACTCAAGGACCCAATCCCACTACTGATCAGCATGGGAGCTTTGACCTCCTCTATTTTCAGTCTTAGTTGGTGTTCCCCTCCTTAGGCAAAGAGGTCACCATTTTAATACTGTACTTAGTATAGACACCCACTCTGCTTAGCTTACTGCAGCTCAGAACTCCTGAGCTCAGATCAACCAGCCTCAGTCTCCTAGGTAGCTGGGATTACAAATGTGCACTGCCATGTCTGGCCATATTTCTTATATTTATTCTCTATTATCCACTCAATCTCCCCTTCTTGACATGTAGTTGATATTCAGTAAGTATCTGGGGACAGATTGATGCTATTGTTCTAAGTGTCCTTGACTAGCAACCTTTCCTCGGAAAGTACTTATGGCATATTGGTAGTAGGGGGAAGACCACATAGTTTTAATTTGCATAAAGCTTTGCATGCTCATGGGACAACTCCATTCTCAGGAGTTCTACAGTCTGAGCAGCAATCTGGGTCCAGAGATTACTTCGTCTAAGGAAGAGGAAGGAGTATTCTAATTTTTTCTAACTGGCTTTACCACTTAATGTTTCTGTGATTTGGGTGAGTCACTTCACCTCATTCCTCAGCTTCCTTGACTTGGGGTGGGGGTGGGTAGAAAAGGGAATGTGGGCTAGAGGATTTCTAAGGTCTTGATTAAAGTACTAATGGAAGATGATGGGTAATTTCAAAACAAATATATTTTGTACTGTTTTTCCAGATCAAATTTCTTAATATAGGTATTCAATTATATCACTCCTCTCCTCAAAAATTTCTAATAGCTCCCCATTACCCATGTCAAATTAGCAATGTTATTTAACAAACTACATTTCTAATTATTTGCCATGTTAAGTCTGACTATTGAAAAATTGGGACAACTTCAGGAATACACTCCATTCTTGTTATCTTCAAGTTGTAGGTACCTGAGTAGTGTGTCTTTTGCTAAAGCATCCGATGGGTCTGGAAGTTTGACAATATATCTAATTTCTCACCAGTTATCTTTTAGGAGCCCAAGAATTCCTCTGGGGGAGTAGATGGGTTAATCAAATTACCTAAGACCACTTCCTGCCATTCAAAGTGGGGATAAATAGGGGAAACCAAGCACTATTTGGCATCACCTCTTCCTGGGAGAGTGGATAGAACAGGAAAAAATATACCATATACTACTTATAATAAAGTTTCATTTACTCTGACACATATGCATACATACATTTACACAGAATTACTAAATTGTTGGAGAGGAGTACGGGGCCAGCACATGATGTAGTAGGGTTGATTCCCAGGTATCTATGAATCTCCAGTATTGGCTTTGATGAAATAACTAAGAAAACTTCTGCAAAGATAACCTTTACATAATGTCATAGCTGCTAGGCAGATCAAGAAATTACAAAGGTTGGGATGGGGAGGGAGAGAATTTGGAACTGAAAATAAAATGAGAAGAAGAAGGGGAAGGAGAAGAAGAAAAGAAGGAAAGAAGAAGAAAAGAAGAGAAGAAGAAGGAAAAGGGGAAGGAGGAGGAACAGGAAGAGAAGAAAGAAGAAGAAGAAGAAGAAGAAGAAGAAGAAGAAGAAGAAGAAGAAGAAGAAGAAGAAGAAGAAGAAGAAGAAAGAAAGAAAGAAAGAAAGAAAAAAGAACAAAAGAAAGAAACATTTATGTGGTGCCTGTGGTGCTCCCTGAACATTCAGATGTGAATCCTGCAGCCTAAGATTTTGGTAGATGTTCTAATTGTAATCATTACCTCACACCTGGATTATTCCAATAGCCTATTGGTTGGTCTGTTTGCCACACATTTCTCCCACTATAGTACATCCTCTACCGATCTGCCAAAATGATCTTCCTAAAGTGCAGATTTAACCATGCCATCCCCTCTACTCAATAAATTCTGATGGCTTTCCATCACCTCCAAGATCAAATATAAAATCCTCTGGTATTCAAAGCCCTTCGTAATCTGCCTCCTCCCTCCTACCTTTCCAGTCTTACAGGTTACACTGATCTTTGTAAACTGTACAATCCAATGACACTGGCCTTTTTGCTGTTGTTTGAGAGAGACACTCAATCTCCTGACTCCCAGCATATTTACTGGGAGTCCTTCATTCATGGAATACTGTTCCTCCTCATCTCCTCCTGCCTCCTTGTCTTCCTTCGAGTCCTAGGGAAAATTCTACTTTCTACAGGAAACCTTTCCTTATCCCTTTTAATTCTAGTGCCTTCCTTCCTCTGATTATTTCCAATTTATCTTGCATATAGCTTGTTTGTATAAAGTTGTTTGCATATTATCTCCTCCATTGGGCTCTTTGAGATCAGGAACTGTTTTTTTACATTTCTTTATATCTCCAGTGCTTAGCAGAGTTCCTGGTATGAGTAGGTGCTTAATAAATGTTTATTGACTGACTCAGTGGAAGGAGTACCCATACTGATGAAATTCTGGGACCTCGAAATTCTGATTGGTAGACACTAATGTTATACATCACCTCAGTATTGTTTTTTGACTTTGATGTCACCTACCTGCTAAATAAAATTCAAACCTGAATTCTGGTACCCCCAACTTTTTTCTTTTATTTTTCAATACACAAGCATTTGTTTTCTTTTTCTCCTACCTGCCCTCTTTTAAAGAAAAAAAAAGCTTTATGTAGTGAGTCTGCAGAGTCAAGAGAAACAAACTTCCATGGACTTTGTACATGTCCAAAAATGTATGTCATTTTGTGTCTTGAGTCTGCTTCTCCGTCAGGAGGTGGGTAGCATAGTTAATCATTAGTCTTCTCAGGTCTTGGTCATTGCAATGGTAAAAGTTCTTAAGTCTTTCAAAGTTGCTTGTCTTTTCAATACTGTTATTATATAAATTGGTTTTGCTTGCTTCATTCTGCTTATTCTTCATTCTTCAAATCATACAAATGTTGCCAGGTTTCAATGAACCCATCCATTTGATCATTTCTGATGGCACCATAGCATCCATTCCATGCTTTGTTCAGCCATTCCCCAATTAATAAGTACCCTTTTAGCATCCAGTTTTTTTGACACTATAAAAGCAGTTGCCATAAATAGATTTATACATTTGGTTCCCTTTTCTCTTGTTTTGATTTCTTTGGAGTATTTTAGAATAGGAGGTCAGGGCTCTGAGGGAATAATTGTCTGGGGAGGAGGAAAGCAAAGGTAATCTGAGAGTTGAGGACACTGTTTAAGAAAGACGGAGTAGGATAGGGTGTCAGCAGGCAGATATAATGAGGAGAGGAAGCAGAACAGAGCAACTTTCACCTGCTTCACAAAGTTGCTTGTGATCAGCCTTGCTTAAGGTTGTTATAACAACAACAGTTGCTGTGGAGAAAGAGATGGAACATTTCTGAAACCTCATAATGTTGGAGTGGCAGCTTAGTTTTGTTGAGATTTTTTGGTCTAAAAAGTACAGGAGAATTCTTGGTCATTACAAAGAGAGCTGCTAGAAATATTTTTGTAATTATGGATCCTTTTCCTCCTTGTGGTATAGACTTAGTAGAAGTATCACTGAGTCAAAAGGTGTGCACAATTTAAGTGACTTGGGTCATTTAAACAAATTATGGTATGTGAGTGTAATACGATACTATTGTGACATAAGAAATGATCAAAGGGGCTATTTCAGAGAAACCTGAATGATAAATTGATGCAGAGTGAAGTGAGAAGAACAATTTAAACAACAACAACAACAACAACATTGTAAAGAAAGAACTCTGATGGATGCTATAATTCCAGAGGATTGATAATGAATTACATTTACTCACCTGCTGATGGTGAGGTGATGAACTCAGGAAGCAGAATAAGACATACGTTTTTGGACATGGACCATGTGGGAACTGGTTTGGCTTGATTATGAACATTGGTTTAAAGGGCTTGGTTTTTCTTCTAAATGGAGGGGGAGGTGAGAGGGAGAGAAATTTAATGCCTTTTAATAGAAAAATAAAATGAGCAATCAATTTTAGAAGCATAGAGGAAATACCAGAAAACAGTTCCTCCCCTTGCACCCCCATCCCCCTACAACTGGTCTGAATTTGCTGAGCTTTCTATTATTTTTCACAGACACTGGCAATGGTAGGCTGGGTGACCTTTGAGGGCCCTTCCAGCTTTAAGCGTCTATGATTCCAGGCAGCATTAAATCAATACCAAGAATTTTATAGATAAAACAACTGCACTTAAACTCTGGAGTTTCCTACTGATGAACAATCCTTTCCCTAAAACATAACAGAGTAACTTCTGAGATAATGGGAAATATTTACAAACTAAGGGTTTTTTATCTTCTCTAGGAAGAAAAGAAAATTCATTCTACCCACGTGCTCTGTACTTCAAGACTTAAATTTTTTTTTTCTGTCAAGTGACTGTTATAAATGTACATTCTTTAGCTCAATCTTACCTCCTTTACCCTGCCTACTCTGGTTCATTTTGATCTTTACTCTGTTTGAATTCCTTTTGCATTTTCGGTCATAACAAAAATGATTGTAATTAGCACTCAATTATATTTTAGTCAATTAATACTCAATTCAGCAAAGATTTATTGAGTTATCTGTCATGGGGATACAAAAATGAAATGAGACAATGCATCCACACATTTATGTCTCTGTAGTAGGCACTCAGTAAGTACATGTGTATATATGTACATATACATATATGTATATGTATGTCATTTCATATTTATGTATCTGTGTCTATCTATAAATATATCTGTCTATGTGTGTGTATATATGTATATCTATTTATCTATGTAAATATCATTATCTATCTAATTTTGTTTTGTTTTGTTTTATTTTATTTTATTATATTTTTGGACAGAGTCCTGATTTCATCTTCATGAGTATATCCTCCATTGATATGACACATCCATACATTCTCATGTTGTGCTCATATCTCATTCTTGTTCATGTCCTACCACAAATACTCTATCATTAGAGACTTTCCTTTGGGTTTTAAAATATTAATGCCACTTGGGCTAGCCATCTCTCATTCTGGCTTCGTGGCCAGCAAGAGAAACCCGTTTTCTTTTCTGGGCTTGCACATCTTTGATAATATCTTTTATAAAACTTCTTGTTCATGAGGCATCTTTGGAAATAATAGCAGCCCAATTACACCCATCATATGTCTCTTTATTACCCTTTGGGTTACTTGGAATTCGGATTTTTCTATGATTATGGCATTCCATGATTCAAAGCCATTACTGAGAGAATATGGATATGGCCTTAGGGAGTAGTTTGCCAAAAGTGTGTGTCAGTGACTAGAAAGATGCCCTATGCGAATTCCAAATGGAAGAATGGTTATCTATACATGGTGAAGCCTTCCAGATGCTCCCATTTGTGAATGACACCATGCAGGCTTATTCAAGCCCAGATTGCTATAGGTCTTCCTCAAAGAGGTCCACTGATACTCAGGTAAGATGACTCTAGAAGCTATTTCCGTAAAACAGGAAACTCAAAGCAAATGAATGATGCACATTGCCAGAACTTCCTCTAACACTTGCTTTTGAGACAGTCTGAGGTGATTTGCATAACTTGGTTTAACTATCTTGGAGGAAGAAGGGGAGATGGGAAGACAGGTAGAGAGAGATAAGTAGAACAACCCCAACTTATCTGAGAGACATGGATACAAATGGGAGGCACTACGGGTGGGTAAGAGGGAAGGGAAGAGACAAATGATTATAATGACATTTATATAACATCAAGTGGAGAGAGGGGGAGCCAAGATGGTAGAGAAAAGGCAGGGACTCAACTGAGCTCTCCCACAAATCCCTCCAAACACCTTTAAACAATGACCTATATAACATTAAGTGGGAATAAGCTAACCCAGGGTGGAAAAAAAAGACTTGTCAGAATAATACAAGAAAGAGAAATTTCTGAAGCCACTTGAAGAGACCCTCTATACTGAGGGTGGGACCATAGAACCCAGTGCAAGATAACAAGTTTATACAGGCTAGGAGCAATCAATACCTCACATGTGTGAAAGATCTAGCTGAGGTTTTATGCTTGAGAGCTAGACCCTGAAAATAACTAATTTCAACATCTAGAAACAGAAAATAGCATCCCAGGGAGAGTTGCTGGCAAAAGAGCAGAGAGCAATGAATGGCTTGGTACCAATAAAGAGAATCAAATACAGAGTCACTCCTCCTTTTTGGGGTCATACTCAGAATAATGCTATAAGTCAAGGGCCATGAGAAGGAGGGTACTCTTGATTCTCTGGGTTCTCATGTAAGTTCTTTCTGTGTCCTTTACTTTATAAGTGCAACAGTTATATATTTTGAAATCTTGTGAGCCTGAGTGCCTATAAGGGGAACTGATGGCTAACGTTGGGGAAGTGCCAGAACTGGAAGTCTCCAGGTTCCACCTAGGTAGGAGCAATGAGATGGAAAAATAAGAGGTCTTCACAATGTGCCTAGGCCCTCTGAGCCAGGAGGGAGCCTCTGACAAAGGCTTACATCAGGATCATAGAGCTAGAGCTTTAAGAAATCTTGGTTTTCAAGTTCAACGACCCTCACTTTCACAGATTTGGAAACCTTGATTTTATATTTTTCTCTAATTGTCAGACTTGTCTTCCTAAGGGTTCTATTCTTACAAGCTATGTGGCCTCAGTTAAGCCATCTCATCTTTATGAGTATCAGGTTTTTCATGTATAAAATAGGGAAGGTAATCTCTTTAGTAGGTGCCTCACAGATTTGTTATGAGAGAAGGGCTTTGTAAATAGTAAAAGCTTATGGAAATGTGAGCTATTATTATAATTTTATTACCTCTCCTTCAAACAGTCCCGAGCAAGGGTTGTCTGGGCTCATAGATGCTTTTTATAATAATAATGATTCACCCCATTTATATATAATTCTTAGGTTTTCAAACCTTAGTGCCTGACACATGGTAGGCACTTAGTAAATGTTTATCGATTAACTGACATTATGCCATTTGTCCCTCACAACAAATCTGTGAGGTAGTTCCTTTTATTACCATAGAAAAGAATCATCCGTTAAGATTCAGAGGAGACTTTAAAGGCCATAAGCTCACCCCCTTATTTTACCAAAGAAGAAGCTGAGTTGGAGAGAGGTTAATTTTCTAGACACACAATTTTTATTAGAGGCAGGATTTGAACCCAAGTCTTCTCATTTCCAAGTCCAGTTTCTCTATCCACTATACCATACTGCCTTCCCATTGTAAAATGTCCTCTATTTAGAAATACTTATAGACTGATTTTGTTAGGAAAGGAATTCAACCCAGAAGAGAGTTGCATAAATGCTTATGATCCCTTTCAAAGTACAAGAGGATGGTGTAATAAATAAAAATGGGACAAGCCTTTGCTTGATTAATTTGCTTGACTTTGCTTCAGATGCCTCCTTTCATATTCTTTCTTGGGTAAAAGAATGGGTGGGTCATTCTTGAGTGAAGGCTATTTTTTTTTTTACCTAAAAAAAGAGAAATAGAAAAAGGTAACAATCCTCTGGCTGCCTTCCCTCCCCTAGTCTCTTGCAGCCTGGGAAAACAAGCATTAGTTACCAAGATGTGGCTCCACCCTGAGACCCAGAAGGCACCAGCAATCCTTGATGCTGTGGCAGTTTCAAGCCACAGACCATTGCAGGGACACCAGCTTTGTGGTAAAAGACTTTCTGCGTAATTTATAATCTCTTTCCTTGTTTCTTAAGCCAAGCTCATTAGTTATTCTCCCAAAGTTTCACTGTCAAAGTTTAACTCCAAGTGTAAATTATTGCTGAGTACCCTGCTGCTCTGTCTTGTCCTATAGAATCAAGCTTAAAATCACTGGTGATGCTGCTGGCTCTGCCCCTGGGGTCTGCCAGGAGCTAGGCTGGCACATTTAATCAGCAGATCCTAGGAAAAGCTCAGGTTACAGATTCTCCCTGCTCTTTTAAGTTCATGTACTGACAGAATTGTAGAGGTTGATTATATACATATAGAATACATGTATATATGCATATATATGTATATGTATGCATGTATAGAATTGTAGAAGTTGATGGATTAAATGTATATTTATAAATAAATAGAAATCAACTCATAAACATGTAAACAATATATTATTACTATTATTATATAAATATATATTTAACTCATCAACTTCTATAGTTCTATATATATATATACACACATACACATATATACAGATACACATAAGCACACACATGTATGTATAGAACAGGCTGTTTTATTTCCACGCAGATAATGAAATGTTCAGCAATAAAGAATCATAGAATTGTTACAATCTGTTGAGAGGCTAATATACATACCTCTTTGGGATATTTACGACAGGGCTGCTCCTTAGCTATTTTACATTTCATCTCCACTGAATACACAACCCAGTCAATGCTGAGTGGTCTTTATTCCTCTCCAGGCACCATTTCTGACACTCTGGACTTTCTCTATCATGCCTAGAACATCCTCATCCTCGAAAATAATTCCACCCCTGGATTTCTCACTCTGAAAGTATTTTCTACCCCTGTAGCCATTTTTCTGATTATCTAGTTCCTTCTAGGCCCTCCATTTTACAGAAAATGCCCAGGCTAACCATGACTTTATTCTTCTCCATTCTCTATTCCTAACTCTCCAGAGTTTTTTTTTTTAAAAATTATGTCCCCAACAAGGCACCTTTCCCCTTCTGTGTTGGCTTCTCCCTATTAGAATGTAAGCTTTCTGCGTGCAGGGACTGTGTTTCTTTTTGTCTGTATTTCTATTACCAGTGCTTAGCACAGTAGCTGGCATATATTAAGCACTTAATAAATGCATGTTGCCTTGACTTGACCTCCATTCTTCGTTGTTTTATTGGTCACAACCTAAGTAGCAAGGCCATGAAAGATAATTTTCAAGTATTAGAGATGCCCTGTGG